ACAAAATTCGAAGGCTTGTTCTTGATTAACGTCTTATCCAATTAAAGTATCTTGGTATACCTCGAAATAACTTATATGTGAAAGCGTATTCATGGTTCGTTAAACTATGAATTGAAGTTGTAATTCTTGTTCGTCATTTCATATAATCTTCAACACTGATTCGCGGCATTCATTCTCTTATTTCTCTAACAAGAAATACGCACTAGAAGGACATAGATCCACTCCAAAAAATTAGATGCAGAATCACATGCTCTAACTAACAAGTGAGCAACTTGATTTAGTGATTTTCTAGCAATTGAAGAAATCCTTACTCAGACATCAAAGCTCGCTAAACAATAAAAAATAATTCAAGTAAAATATGAAGAGTTTTCCGTATCGGCCTGTGACGTACGAACGACCATCTCATTGTCCGTTTCAATGGCAAATAAAAGTAATAATAATAATTTAAGACAAAAGGAATTTTAATTATGGAATGAATTGAAGTGAAGGTATATTGGACGGGTCTAATTTATTATCATGTGTAATGTTTATGGGCATATTATTCTCTAATCATAAGTTAAATTATATATTTATGTCAAACATAATGGATTTCCAGCCGCTTCAAATGATAAACAAGAAACATAACTTTATTCAGAGAAGAAATGGAAAGAAATCTGCCAACCTATTCGACCACTTTGTATTCGATCACGAGATTAAACATTATTTTAATTCCAAGAAGCATAAGCCAAATTAGTAAATAAATACATAAGTATGGAAAGATATTCCGATAAATATATAAATATATTCTTATAAATAAAGCAATAACAAGGGCAATACTTATTTATGATGTTGTGGGAATAATTATTTTCTGAGTAAAATTTCATAATTGGTCTTTTATAATAGAAGAGTTTTTCATATTTAGTTTCCGATTATCAAATATTATGTTTGTGGTCCTTCGTTTATATGTACTTTTTCATAAATAGTTCTTTTTATCTTATGTCATGTTGGTATTAATTTGAAGCTAAAAATATATTTTCACAATGATTATATATCTTTCATGGCATATACAATTCGAGAGGCCGCTCGTAATGCGTCATTTCTGAATCAGAATCGTTATCTACTGCAACTATAGTCTATAAATGAGATCTTTCGTCAGAATCTTAGTTTACAACCAAAGTCATTATTGTTGTGTCATTCATCTAATTGACATCAAAATACGTCACTGGCATAGAGTTGATGCGAAATTTCACTTTTAGCTCTGAAATTAACATCAATGTCATAGAAGGTCAAAAAAAATTGTTATAGAAAGGTGCCCATAAAAAAGGACTATGGAAGTAATTCTTGATAATGAAGGACTAAATTTGAAAAATCCCTATTATAAAGGACTTAGTATGGAACTTACCTCTTTTTTTGGGAGAATATGTGTACAACTAAAATACATGAATTTTAAATAAATTTTAAAACACATAAAACTTACTCCCTCCGTTTGGAAAAAGTGTTCCTCTTTTGACTTTGTGTAAAAATAAGAAAGTATTAAATTGTAGTTGACTTCCAATTTTGCCCTTGATGTGATAGGTAAAAGTAAGATGTGATATATGGAGTATAGATTATTAGAGATAAAGTATGATGTGATAGGTAGGGTATGAAAAAGTAAGATTAAAAGTAGTTTTTTAATAGAAAGTGGAAGTGTTTTGTTGGAAGAGAAAAAAATGAAAGAGGAAGTGTTTTTGAGAACGGAGGGAGTATTTTTTTTGAAGGCATAAAACTTATTTATTGGTTTGACATCAATATTAAAATAAAGTATCGTACAATAAAAATTAAGAAGTTATTTAAGAACGAGGGAGTAAAAACATAGAGATATTTGTGCAAAATGAATAAAACCAAATGGTTGAATGCTCTTCTGTAGAGAAAAGAGCATTTAATTTGATCCTTTGGAAAGAAATTGAAAAAAACTAAAAAAAAATTGAACCGAACTGGAAGAAACGGTTAGAATTTTGAAGAAACTAAAAAAATGAGAAGAAACTAAAAGAAATTAAAAAAAATTAGAAGGAATTTCAAAAAGTTATTTAGATGTATTTTACATATTATTCTTACTATAATTGATATTGTTGTTGTTAATAATAATAATAATATTATTATTATTATTAATATATATTATCATCATCATCATTATAATCGTATATAATAGGTAATAAAAGTTAATAAAATTCGACCACGTGAATAATGTACTGATTTAATTAGGTACAAAAGTAGTAAAATTATTATTTTTTAATTTAAAATATTGATGATTTTCACAGGTCAATTTATATTAATAAATTATTCCTAATTTTTAGAGCATCGTTAATTATCATATAAAAAAGAAATTTCTCTTGATATGAGTGAAAATGTATAAAAATACCAAAATAAAAGTCATAAGCCTATAAAAATCAAATAGAAGTATATAATAGCAGTGTGATGTAGGAGTATGTGTTGGCAATGTTATGAAAAAGTGATGACAATGTAATATATCAATGTGATTAGTCAACCGTCGCCGATCCACGTCGGCACTTCTGTGGCCGGTAGTGTGGCAGTTAGAATGTAACATCATATAACATTATAACAATGGCAACATGAACTCATATTTTGGTCTTAAAATACTTATGACTTCTATTTTGATATTTTTCATAGTTTTTTACTTCTATATAAAAGTTGTTCTCCCCATAAAAATTACTCCCTCTCTTCTAAAATATCCTCCCAAAGAATATTCATACGGTCAAACTTTAATTATTTTCTTTATTTATTTTTGTTAGTTATTTGATAAAATAATATAGTTTTATCACCTCTTGTTCTGTAGAACTTTTGATGTACTTTTTTAATATATAAATTTTATTTTTTAATTTTGCATCTACAATCAAGCCTCGTAAATTGAATTGAAGTAATAAAAAAAGAAGTTTTTCCCACAAAATTGTACTTCATATTATTTATATTAAAATAAAAGAAATATAATTATGAGCGTGAATTAAAAAATAGAAGTGACTTGGGAAAAATATAAATTGAAAAATGAACTATAGTTATAAATGTATTAATAATAATAATAAATAGAATAATAATAATAATAATAGTAATAATAATACTACATGAAAAATATACTCCGTATTATTTTTAGATTAATTATTTAGAAAGTAGAAAAATATTGAATAAAATGAAAATAGTTTTAAAAGTAGAAGAAACTCATTCATTTGAGCATTATTTGTTACGGAGTATTTATCTAAATGTAAGTATTTTATATCTAAAGAATTGAAATGTTGTCATTTTTAAAAAACATTAAAATAGGAAATTTAGAAATAGTTATGTTTTCAAAACACTGCTAAAAGAAAAATGAAGTATAGTTATAAATGTATTAATAATAATAATAAATAGAAGAAGAAGAATAATAATAATAATAGTAATACATGAAAAATATACTCCGTATTATTTTTAGATTAATTATTTAGAAAGTAGAAAAATATTGAATAAAATGAAAATAGTTTTAAAAGTAGAAGAAACTCATTCATTTGAGCATTATTTGTTACGGAGTATTTATCTGAATGTAAGTATTTTATATCTAAAGAATTGAAATGTTGTCATTTTTAAAAAACATTAAAATAGGAAATTTAGAAATAGTTATGTTTTCAAAACACTGCTAAAAGAAACATCGGACTAATAAAAACGACGCGACCACAGTGGGAGTCGAACCCACGACCTTTTGATCCGAAGTCAAACGCGCTAATCCACTGCGCTATGCGGTCTGTTTGTTATAGCTGCAGTGTCTGTATATTAATACCAGTTTCAAGGCGGGTGCTCTTTAGGCATCGAAATTTTGTTAGCTTATGCTCCTGTTCCCAAATAAAAATCTTCCATAATATTATAAAGTTACGATTACTTCATCTTAGTTATGTGATAATTTTAGTATAAAATAATTTTTAAGTATAGAGTTTTAAGTCTTGAACTTTGAAGCTTTGCTTTCAAAAAAAGTATAGAATGTTTAATTTTAAGTTCGAAATATCAAGAATGTGCACTCTCGTTTCTTGCTCAAGGGATTGGTCCTATATTTTAACTTGATTATTAATTGTAAAAAACTTCTAGTCGATTTCGACGTAGATTTTAGTTTTTTTGTTAATCTCTGATTATGAGGCATCACTTTTGTTAGCCCAGAATAATCGTTCCTCTAGATTATCACTAATCATTCCTCTTTATTCTTATCTCCCACATCATCTACTTCTTTTGTCACGTCACTCTCTCCTTCAATTTTCTGACGTGTTCTAATCATTCTTCTACATTTTTCAATTATCTTTTCATACATATCATCTTTCCATTGATGAAAAATAAATTTTAAAAATTAAAAAGTAATGGACCAAAGATATATTTTCTCTGGGGGGAGATATTATTTTCCATACTCTTCCCTCTTCTATTCGTCTCATCTTTCTAATAAGTAATTCTTTTGCTATTTTCCCATACAATTTTACATTTCTTAAACTCCGCACAAATCAAACTAGGAGGATTAATATGAGACGGGGAGAGTAAAAAAAAACCTATGCAGGCATTTCCCAACAGTCCAGCACTCAATAGGGTACAAATGTACATCTCTTTTACTCATGCAACCTTGATCACATAGGGATAGATATCTGAGCCGACCACCTTATTGAACATGATTTGTTCTATAGGGTGGCATTTCCAAATTCGGACTGCGGAACCCATCATTTTCGACGCGACTTTGGGTTCGTTCGTCACCCATAGATTTTTCCAAGTTGACTTTTTGTGATTTTTTAAGAAAGTTGAAAAAGCGTAAAAATTTACTAAAACACCCTTGATGAAAGTGAGTAAAAATATTAAATGAGGTGTGTTGACGATGCCGGCGGGTCTTCTCCTTCGGCTACTACTGGCATTGTCACCTATCTCAATCTCTTTGTTTAGGGCATTTCATTTCTTTTTACTTATGTTGGGTTTTATTTCTGCAAATGAGAGACAAACCGGGAATAACTCTGAATTTAAAAGCTCAAGAAACCACCAAAAAGAGTTTTTTTTATGTAATCTTGTTCTTAAACATCTAACAAATCACACTTCAAAGCCACTTCACATTAAAGGTAGCAGATTTGGTTGCTCGAAACTACAAGAGCGTATAAATTCTTCAACACATTCGATACACACCTTTTTTCAAATCTTGGAGTCGGAAAGTTTCTCAACTTTGGGGGGTGCGAACTGCCTACTGAGCCGGGACTTTGTCCAAGGATCCATGGCGGGTCTTTGCGGTGGCTGTGGGGTGGGCGGTTTTGATTGTCTAAGCTCATTTTCTCTGTCAATGAACCTGCAAATGGAAATTTGTCAAATAAAAACAAATTAGAGTTTAGCCTTTTCATAGCGTATTTTGCTAGCAATCGATTGCTTTTTCTTCTTTTCCTTTACATACAATCAGAATCAAAAGCCATCTGGTTTTTTAAAGCACATAATCACACACACATAAAAAAAAAGGTTTAAAAAAATCTCACTCAATATATGCCATAGGAGCAGCATCACCAACACGGATTCGTGTTCTTAGCATTCTTGTATATCCACCGGCTCTATCTCTGCAAGTTAAAACCATCGAGCTGTTACAAACACAGCAAATAAAACTCCAATAATAATAATAATAATAATAATAATAATAATAATAATAAAATGAGCATGACTAAAGTGAAGAAACTCATATTCACTTGTATCTATACGCCAGTTCTGTAAATAGTTTGTGAAGAACAGCATCACCACGCACAAAGCCACCAGCACGTCTTGCAGCACATAGAGTTCCCTGCAGAGGTTCACGAAGGCTTTGGATTCATATAGACCCAAAAAAGTGTTTGGATTCATATAGTTCCGCGTTAATATGATATTATCGACTCTAGGCCAAGCCCTCATAGATTTGTTTTTGGGCACCTCCCAAAAGATCTCATAATAAGCACATTTTTTGACGTATTACATGGGACACACTACCTAAGGTTGGATTCCTTTGTTTGCCTACCAAATAAAACTTCCTCTACTTTACTCCAAGCAAAGCCGTGTTCTCATCATAAAGCTTGATCTTTGTGAGCTAGTAAAAATCAGATAGTTTTAGGGAAAGAGAGAAAAAAATGAGGGAAAGTGACAATCCAAGCCTCTATAAAGAAAATGCTAAATCTGAGAATACTACAATTCATTAATGTCAAGAACAAAAACTGAAGTCCATATTAAAGCAAAAGGAAAAAGACAAAATCAGTGAAAGACTTATTTTACTTCTTGAAAAATGAGTATAGCATGTAACACAATACCATATCAAGTCATAGTATAGCAAACGTTTCTACTAGAAACACTATCACTATGTTTGGTTCTAGGAACTCACAAAGGAAAAAAAGGAAAGGAAAACAAATTTTATTGTTTAGTTAGGGAGCAAAATAAGAAAAAAGTAGAAGGAAAAAAATGAGAAGAAATAAACTAAGAGAAAGGAAAATAATTTTTCCTTCCACTTCAGTGAGGAAAAGGAGAGAAATCAATTTTTCTTTTCTTCCGATTTCCTCAAACAAAATATAGCATATAAATTGTTAGTTTGTGATAATATCTGAGACAGTCAAGTGACAACATCATAGATATTGAAATTGGTCGAGATGGCATTGTTTGTAGCTAGAACTTAAGTAGACAAAATTTGAAGAACTTGGTGAGATATTGGTAGTTGTTCAAAGATCACAGTCTTGTGCAATGAGCAAAATTATTACTTATTTTTCTTTGAACCATAATGACTGAACTTCTGCTTTTTTTGCAACAAGTAGTAGATGAAAACATAAAAAAGAATGAAGGAACATCAATCATCAAAACATGGGTTTTGTCCCCATAACTAGAGAAGTAGAAGATGGCCAACATGTGAACCCATTATGTATATACACATCAAATGATCTAAATACACTATGAATCAATCTCCAAATCATGATGTATAATTGAGTACCTCTTTCCCAAGTTGCACCATATTATCAGCAAGCCTACGAAGTTCCTTTGCCTACAATAACACATCAAAGAAAGATAACAATTACAGAGCTTCATAAGGAGAACCTCTGAATCTCTTCATACAACCCCCCCCACCCCTCACCCGAATATAGATAAATACTCCGTGCACCTCAAAACGATCTTCGTACTTTTCTTTTTTGGACATCCAAAAAACGATTTCCCATTTCCTGATTTAGTATACACTTTTTATTCCTTTAAAAAAAACACATTTTACCCTCAAACAGCCTACAAATTTACTAACTTTCACTTTCCTTTTACTAAATCAGAAAAGGTAGGCTGGAGCATTTAGGGTCCATTTGGAAAGGGGGGAAATGACTTCTGGAAGTCATTTTCCCCATTTTCTATTGTTTGGCAAGAGTGGAAAATGCAAGTCAAATGGAAAAAAGGTTTGGTCTAGTGGAAAATGAGGCCTCTTTTACGGATTGTGACTTCCGGATTTTTTTTCCGGAAGACGTTTTCCGCTTCGTGTCTAGCTTCTTTTCTTCTTAGTTCAATCATCTCTTCTTCCCTTTTTGCTTCTTCTCTTTCTTCCCCCGACCTCTCTTGCTTCTCACTTCTTCCTGACCCCTCGCACTTCTTCTTCTCTGCGTCATCTTCTTCTAAACCCTAACTAGATTCCGTCCATCGCAAGGATTGGAAGACAACAGATCAAGGCCTGGTGCCATGAACTGCATTGGTCAATCCCAAATTTTCTTCGAAGGGTCTGATTCCAATCTTTGCACGAATAGCAAGTGACATTTAATTTCAATTCTAAGCATTTGAATTTCAATCCCCATTCTAGTTTCAATTGAATGGTGTTCAAATCTAATTTTCTCAATTTTAACCCTCACTTTCTAATAATGAACCAAAAAATAGATGATTTTCCAACTTTCGTCCAAACACTGAAAAAGGAAAATGATTTCTAGAAAACAATCCATTTTCCAGAAAATCATTTTCCAATGGTCATTTTCCAGGTTTCCAAACGGGCCATTAGATTATTTCCCTTCCACTCTAAATCTTGGTGACATTTTCACTTGATAAGTTTGCCAACTTATCTCTAAACTAGCAATTACTGCCTGAATCTTGTTGCCCATTTGCCTACCACTTTTTTGTAATTGGTTTAAAGCACATCAAAATGAAAAACTTCTATTTAAAAAAAAATCTATTGAAAGAAATCAATTTTAAACTTTGTGGTTTTACATATTTTGGATAAGAGAGAAAATCCAAACCCAATCTCAGGTCCTTCAATAAGATATGGAGAAGCGAAACAAAAAAAGAGTAAAATGAGAATACTTTAGCAACAGTTGTCTCTATACGCTCATGTTTGACAAGCTGCGAAACCATCGTCCTGAGAGAAGAAGAAGATCGCTCCAATTTATTACTGATTGCCCGGAGAAACAAAGAACAGAGCAAAAAAAAAGAAGAAATTGAGTGCAGTGAAAAAAATATACAGTTCTAGAAATAACCTGAGCATGGAAATCCGGTGAGCCGCCGGGCGGCCCAACTTCCGAAACTTGGTCATTTTCGAGCGCGCGAGAGAGTGCAGAAAAGCCCTAAAAACGATGAGGGAAGGTTCAGAGTTCAGAGGTTAGAGCATCGCCTAATTGAACTGGTAGATCCAATAAATAAATTTCAAGTAAAAATTATGAAAATATTTAAATTGGAGTCGTCACACTATAATTGGTACAAACGCACACTCGTCACATTGTCATATTGTAATTGTTACATTATCAATGTCACACTGTCATCCGTCGCCGCCAGCCACTAAAGTACCGCTGCAGAGCGTTGACAATTGACTGATCACACTGATACATTACAATGTCATCAATTTTTCATGACACTGTCAATATGTAATCTTACAACACACTGCCATTATAAATTTGGAAAAAAAGAAGTATTATTTTGAGATAAATCTGGAATTGTATCCTCAAAGTTTTGAGTAAGCAAGATTTCTCTCTAATTAAACAAATTTTTAAAACTAGAGTAAATACTACATACGGAGCACTTCTTGAAAAATTTAAACTATGTAAAATTTTTGAAAAAATTTAATTAAGACTATATATAAAAATAAAATTTTCAATATTTTTATATAAAAATGAGACTGACTCTATATAATGTTAAAAATTTCATCCGTCTCCAAATGAATTACAAACTTACTTTTACTGTCTCTCGATAACTTTTGCTTGCTTGTATGCTTTCATCAATCATTTGATAAAATAACATATTCTTGTCATTTATTGTTTTGCAGAATTTTTTAGGCAGTTTTTTAAAATGTAAACTTTATTCATTATTTTTATACCAATTTGTAAACAAAATGAGTTTTAAAAAAATGAAATTTTGCACATTGATCAAAAAATAAAATTCATTTTAAAAAGGAGGGAGTAGCACCTAAAAATAATAGAGTATAAAATGTCAACATACAATACCAAATTGTAGGCATTTTATAATGTCAATACACATTTAAGAGATAAAGTATAAAAAAATCTCAATTTTATACAGTATAAATTACGGAATATATGTTTTAGTTTTATTTAATAGAAATTTTACGCAATATATGTTTTAGTCTTATTTAGTTAAATAATCCATAATTAAATGTGTTGGAGTTAATATTGGAGGGTAGCTGATAAGTAGGTACTCCTAATTTAACTTAACTCGTGTCCACGCACTTTGCAAGTACTATACTAGTTACTTACTGCCCATCTCACACTATCTGTTAACTACTTTTGGGGCATTATTTTCTATTTGTATTTATGTTTGCCTGCCGGATATTTATTAATTGCTCTTTTGGTAACGAAGTATTGTCTTTCAGAGTAACATTCAATAATTAGTCTTTTATAATATGAGATTTTTTATATTTAGTCTTAGAGTTCGTTTGATATACGGAATTGATGGAATTGGAATTGAAATTTCATGAGATTCAATTCCATACAATTGAATTCACCAATTCCAATTCATTTTTTGCACTATCAATTCTAAATCTACAAAATTTTTGTTCTACCAAACACCAGAATTGGAATTAAAGTCCTCAATTCCAATTCCATAGTTTGAATTATGTGTACCAAACGGGGCCTTATTGTATTCAAATGTTATGTCCATACTCCTTTTATGGGCAATTATGAACACCTTTCAACGAATAGTCTTTTTTTACCTTCTGTCATGTTGGTATTAATTTCAAACCCACAAATAGAATTCCACAATGATCATATATATTTTTGTCATACTGAATGTGAGAGGCCATTCCTGATGGATTGTTTGTGAATCGTAATTGCTGTCTACTACAACCATAGTCTATATATGTCGTATCTAATCAGAATACTACTTCACAGTCATAGTCGTTATTGTTGTATTGTTCGTCTAGCCGACATTGGAATATGTCACTAGATATAGAGTTGATGTTAAATTATACTATTAGTCATCAAATTAACACCAATATACAGAAGGTCAAAAAAGGATTGTTCATGGAAAGATGCACATAAAAGAAGGACTACGAGCGTAATATTTGATAATGGATGACTTAATGTGAAAATACCCTATTATAAATGACCGATTATACCATTTACTCTTTTTTAAAGTAATTTTAATTTTATCGCTCCATTTCAAGATCTTGGTTGATAATAATATTTCTATGAATAGTAATTGAATAATTTTTAGTGATATAAACTCATTTTGAAAAAGAGGGATCTAAATGATAAAGTTGTTGCCAAACAAAATGATACTCTCTCCGTCCTATAATGATCTTCCCGGTTTGCAAAACGAAGAAAAATCTCAAGTTTTTTCAATCTATTTTATTTAAGTATTGGTATAGAAATAAAAAATAAAACATACATATTTAAAAACTACACCAAAAGTTCAACAAAACAAGTGGTGACAAGAATATTTTATTTTATCATGTAGACCATGAAAAAACACAAATAAATATAAATTCCCGTGAAGTTGGAATAGTGTTCTGGGAAGATCATTATATGACGGAGGGAGTATTTTTTTAAGTGAGTCTTCTGAATAAATATTTTAAGCTTGAGAATATTTTACCCCTTTCTAAATAAGTTACAATCTCACAATTCCATCCATCATATTTGAAAAAATCGAAATATAGAAAAATTGTGACAAGCACACTAAAATTTCACCGGTCACCATATTAAGCAATCATGGATGACCCGGAGAGTGTGCAAAGTGGCCAACCACACATGACCTCTAAAATTTTAAGGCCCCATATTTTTAATTTTTTTATTCTAATTATTTGGTATGTTTAAATTTAATATAAGTTTATGTTTTAATACTCAAATTATTATTAAAAATTAATTGTGGAATTAATTTTGAAGCATAAGTATTCTAAAAAATAAAATAGGGTCGAAAATATAAATTTTGGACCGGGCCAGTTTCACTTCTTCATTTTTCGGAACCGGCCCTGCAAGCAATTTATTTATGTAACTCTAAGAATTCTAGCAAAAAAAGAGTAAGTAAAAAAATCCCTAGTAAAAAAAATCCCTGGCAAAAAAGGAGTAAGGAAAAAAATCTCTAGGTTAACGAATCTTACTAAGAATATTAATCCATATACCACTTATGACTCACCCTTCACATATTTTTTATAAAAGTAATATAAAACCGGACTCGTTTCTCTGAAATTGAATCAACGTCACAAAATGACACAAGCCTCTTACATTATTCGTTCGTAAAAATGATGGTTCCTACATCCTAGCCTCTTCTCTCATTTTGTTACAGTGACCACTGTAGCAAACCGACAAAATGACGGGGGGGGGAGGGGGAGGGGGCTTTGAGGATTAGGAAAGTGGAAATCGTCATTTTTTGAACGAAACACTGTTGCAAAAAGCATGTATCATCCTATGACATTCAAAGTGAATGTCACATGAATCGAATCGATATAATATCGGGTATTATATAATGGTTAAAAAATGAGACACAAGATAGGATAACATTTGATTATGAGACAAAAAAAATACCTAATTTTGACTTTGGGGTCAAAATTTAACCCCAAAGTCAACTACATCTAGTGCGGTGCAATTGACGTGGGAGTGGGATGGATTCGAATCGGGCCGAGTTGGGAGGTTTACCGGCGGGGTTATGAGGGTAGGAATTATTAATTTTTTTAAAAATTTGAGATCAATTCTCCTAATTAACTTATAACAACACTTATTATTCTATCGAGCCAATTAGGCCAGGGTGCTGGGGTGGGTGCTCCACCCACTATATAGGACATGAAGAAATTTAAAAAAGAGGGAAATTAAAGGACAGTAGTTGGAAATTAATTTTGGCATAAAAAGTTTGATTTGTCCAAACACTATATAATCTAATTCCCACTATACCAAAGGGGAAAGGGAAAATAATAGGAATACTACCTCCCCAAAAACCTACACAAGTAATATACCCACCGTACCCCCCATGAAACCACCATTTCCACCGCCGTCCTCCACCGTCATATCACCTCTGCCGGCGGTTCCGTCGCCGCTTCATTAGCAATTTCCAATTATACCCTTCTTTCAAATAAACGAGTCCATTTTTTGATGGCGAAAACCTCAAAAAAGGACAGTTCCAGCAGTGGCGGGGGCAGCAACGACGACAGTAACTCTCCCGCCGCTAATAAAGCGAAACGGTCGCGAAAAAGCGTCCCGAGAGACTCCCCTCCCCAACGTAGCTCCGTTTATAGAGGCGTCACCAGGTGAGGTCTCTTGTACTATACGTCAGTTATTTTGTTTTTTCTGTGTCTATTTTTCACCCTAAAAAAGTTCTGAGAAAGTAGTAAAGGATTTAATATAATTACACCCTTTCACATTGTCGTTAACGCTAACGATGTGATAACGGTATTCAGGCACCGGTGGACGGGGCGATATGAAGCTCATCTATGGGATAAGAACTGTTGGAATGAAACCCAAAGTAAGAAAGGAAGACAAGGTTAGTTCATCTTCATCATACTTTTGTATTGATTTTAATTTTATTTTATTTTTGTGTTTTTTTAAAATATAAAAAAATTGATTTCCTAGTGAAATGTAATTAGTTGCTTTATAGTTGAACTAATTACACCCTATCCCACTAATTTTGTTTACTTCAACAAGAAATGTCATTTTATTTTTCTTTATTTTTGTATCATTTCTTCATGCCCTAAAAATAATAGTGAAATTTGCACTAAATAGGACTAAAACATAATGACTTTCCTAAAATAAGACTTGAACTTTTTTATTCCCTAAATAGGACTTAATAATGACCTAGTGGAAGGAATAATGTCCAGTAATGATGGACATTTAGTTGAATAATGACTACTTGATAAGGACCAAAGGTCCTACATTGGGAAATAAAAACATATGGTCTTATATTGGGAAAGTCATTATGTTTTAGTCCTATTTAGGTAAATTTCTCAAAATAATAATGTGAGGGATGAGATAAATCACAAGTTGCATTATATTTTTGTTTTAATGTGTTTTTTTCTTCTTCTTCATTTTGCTGGCCCTATTCAATAATGGTGGATGTACTGGATGATGATGGGATGAAAATGCAGTTTATTTGGGTACGTTTTCTGTCATTTTCAATATATTATTATTATTTTTAAATTGTAAAAGGAGGAAAAAATAAATCTTGGTAAAAAGAGGCTTCCACTTTTTTAGCATTGAATTTAGAGAGTGAGTAAAAATGGGTGAATAATTCAAAGGGTTTGATCTTATCTACTACTATTACTCATATTGGACAAATTAATTAAGCTTTGACTTTTAATTAAATGTTTTTAAATTTTTTTTTAATTATTTTGATATTTTCAGGAGCCTATGATGATGAAGAAGCAGCAGCACATGCATATGACTTGGCAGCATTGAAGTATTGGGGACAAGATACCATCCTTAATTTTCCAGTAATTTAATTTTAATGACTTTTATAATTATTTGAATATTTAATTTAATTTTTGAAGTTTTTGTATTGCAATATAATTTGGGTAATTTTTATCATTTTAAAGTGTTATCTAAAATTTCCCAATTATGTTGAATGTAGATTGATGGTTATGAAAAAGAGAGAAACGAAATGGAAGGACAAACAAAGGAGGAGTATATTGGTTCTCTGAGAAGGTATGTTTTTATTTATCTGTAATTCTATAAGGTTTGGGAATAAAACAATTATCCTTTTCCCTTATTTGATTTCTTATAAGGATATTTATTTATCTAAGTAGCACTACTGGCTATATATGTTGTGTGTCTTAAAATAGTTCTAGTATAATTATATTCCTCCGTTCTTAAATATTTTACTCATTTGACTTTTACAAAACTAAAAAAACTAAAAAAAATAAGAGTATATTGTTAGAATTTATTTAAATGAGAGAAAAATCTCATAAGCCACTAAATTGTTCATTGCAAAGAAAAAAAATAGTAAATGAAAAACGTTTTTTGGGATGTTAAAAATAAAATCATGTTTGAAAGAAGAAAATAATGGGTGGATGGATATGAGAAGACTTAATTAATTAGGGTTAGAGGTTTATGAATCAATGAATAGTGTGTTTGATGATTGCCAATCTTTTTACTGTAGCATTAAGTATGTACTCTATACATATGTCTTAGTGTATCCCTTTCGTTTGACTTTTTCATTCAAAACTAATTTAATTAGATTTTTTTGCAAGAAAACTCTCAAAATATTATACTTGGTATAGTAACACTGTATAACCACCGGTCTCGTTGTTTGAAAGAGAGTTATTGAATATTTTTTGATGGGTATTGAATACTAAACAATCTTTATTTAATTGATGATTAAAATTCAATCAATTTGACAAAAAGATCAAAGTGGATGGATAGATTGAAAGAGATGTGGTTTGTGTCATATGGAAGTAATATAAAACCTTGGTGATGCCTTTTTGAGAAAGAAGTTAGATGAATTTTAGTGTTACTTTGAACTATTATTTCTCACATATTCTTACTACAATAATATTTACCACATTTATTTGCAGAAAAAGCAGTGGATTTTCTAGAGGTGTCTCGAAATATCGTGGCGTAGCAAGGTAACTCGTGCGTACGATGAACCTTAAATTCATGACAAAAACATTAACCATATAAATGGTAAAATGTGATTAAAATTACGCGATAATTTAGTAAATTGTTGCACAACATTAATGCATTGTAAATTACAAATATGTTGGTGCACATATATATGTGTATGCACAAGTTGTTGGGAGGGAAACATATGTACAATGTAAAACTTAATGAATCTTGAAAATGTTGGGTGGCCAAACCTCCTTTTTGTCAAACAATTAAGTTGCAACCTCATCACCTCCCGGCATCTTCTCAACTATATTCCTATGATGCCCTGATTTAATTTGTAGTTTAATCATTTAATTTGCCCATTTTTTATTCCAAAATTTTTATTAATTATAATTATTACTAGAGCAATATATACCACTCCCTCCGCCCCACAAAACGTTTAAATTAGATTTTTAAAGGATTTTAGAGGAGTGTATCTTAGTATTGAGTTTCCAAAAATGCCCTCAGATGTGATAGGTAAAAGAAGGATATGATGGGTGGATTAATAATGAAAAAGTGTGATGTGATAGGTAGGTTAATAATTAGTAGGGGTAAAATTGACTTTTTAATAGAATTAAGAAAGGTTTTTTGGGACGGATGAAAATAAAAGAAGAAAGATTTTGTGGGACGGAAGGAGTATCATATTATGATACCTGCATTTGAGACATCAAGCCCTAAAACCAATATGAATCTTCCACACACACACACACAAATCCCATGCCCTTAGCACCCCTAAAAACAACGATTTGCTATAGTAACACTGTAACAAATATGCGGTTTCTATTACGGTAGGAGATTTACGGGATCAGATGTGCCTCATTTTGAGACGCAACGGGGAATCATAAGCCCTCAGGAGGATGTCTTATTTTCCAAATGTATAGAGTGAAAATTTTGATTTTCTCACTTTGTTGGCATTAAAACTTGTAGGCACCATCACAATGGAAGATGGGAGGCACGCATTGGAAGGGTGTTTGGAAACAAATATTTATATCTTGGAACTTATGGTAAAACTTAATTACCCTCAAACCCATTACCATACCTGCAGTAATAATTTTAATTAAAATATTTCTTCACAAACACATGCAAGCACATCTTCCCTCCATTTTATATTAATTACTCATAATGACTATCTTGATACATTAAAAAATGAATGAATGTCGACATACTTTATGTCTATATTCATTTATTTTTCAATGTGCCAAGAAAATCCTACAGTTAATTTAATATGGAATCAAGGGATTATAAATGGATTTTCCCTCTAGTGATTGTTCTGTCGTAAAATTAATATTTTTCATGAAATACGAAATTTGAGTCACATCGTAAGTGACACAATTATATTTCTTTACAACGTGAGTCCAAGGGGTTGTTTTATTGTTTTAATTTTAATTGGAGTTAGATACACTTAATAGTAATTTTAATTAAAATATAGAGCCTTAAAATTAGATTATAAAATCTAAAAAACTACAGAGTGTGAAGTGGGATTATTAAATTCCGAAATATAAATAGGAGAATTTACTTAAATAGCACTAAAACATAATGACTTTCCCTAAATAGCATCACATGTGTATTTTCCCAATGTAGCACTTTTAGTCATTATGCATTAGTCATTATTCAAATAAATATTTGTCATTACTGGACATTATATTATGGACATTATCAAGTGCTATTTAGGGAATAAAACAATTTAAGTGATATTTAAGAAAATGACTTAAGTTTTAGTGCTATTTAGTGCAAATATTTCATATAAATAACTTCAATATAAAAAGTATGAAAAGAACAAGTGCTAATTAGTGTAACCAACCTCCTCACATGCCCTCCACACCTCTCTCAACTCTCAAGCCAACCTAATAAATAATATATGAAGTACTTTTTGGTACATTGTATTATATACTCCCTAGTGATTAAAAAGTCTCTTTCGTTGCCTACCCAACGGTATTTCTATAATAATTTGGAATTAAAATAATTTTAGAACTACACGTTGCTCAAAATGTGACATCCGATATGGGACGGGTCTCTTTCTTTGCCTACCCAAATACGGAGTAGTCCGTATTTCTATAATAATTTGGAATTAAAATAATTTTAAAACTACACGTTGTTCAAAATGTGGCGTCCGATATGGGACGGAGAGAGTATTTCGTATGACCTATAATACCAAAAAATATAAATATATACTCCCTCCGTCCGGAAATATTCTTCCCACTTTCCTTTTTGGTCCGTCCGAAAATATTCTTCCCATTTCCTTTTTTAGTATACTTTTTAAGGATAAATATCAATAATACCTTTCTATTTTATCACAAATCTATTTTTTTAGTACTTTTTTAATAATAAAAGAAGATTTAAAAGTTTATAGTATGTGCATTTTTTAAAAATTTTGCATTTTTTACAATTCCTTAATAAGCGTACCAAGTCAACACGGGAAGAATATTTCCATACGGAGGGAGTATCAATAACTAGATAAATTAAATACAAAAATAATTTTAGACAAGTGTGGTTGTGAAGGAGTATGGCCCCATTTGGTATCAACATTAGAGGTTAGCGTTAGTATTTTGAAAAAGTTATCTGACGATAGCTTTTAGCGTTAGCGTTTTCAGAATTAATCTATACCATTAGAATTTTATCCAAAACGCTAACGGTAATCGAAAATAATGTTTCTAGACAAAGCCAACATGGAAAACTCAACATTTTTACTTTGGAGTATTTAATTTATTGCATTTAATTACAGCTACACAAGAGGAAGCAGCCACGGCTTATGACATGGCAGCCATAGAGTACAGAGGGCTTAACGCCGTCACCAACTTTGACCTCAGCCGTTACGTCAACTGCCTCCGCCCGGACCAAAACCCCAACCCAACAAGTGACGGCGTTAGTCATGATGATGAGCTCACGCTAGACACCAGCCAACAAGAAGAGCTGATCCGCTTCCACCATCACCACCCCGCCGACCAAAGCTCCGGCAACGGCTCACCGGAAACCGCCTCGCCGCCACCGCCGCCGTCACGGGTCCACAAAGACTTCCTCTCTTCAGCAGATGAGGATAATTGTCCGATGACGCCGCCGCCGGAGCGGCGGGTCCCGCCAAGGGGGCGAAGCTTCCCGGACGACATACAGACGTACTTCGACAACTGTCACGACACGAGCGGCTTCTTCGAGGAACATGACATCATCTTCGGCGACTTGAACGCAATCGAATCGTCCATCTTCCAATGTGAACTTGGTGAATGATTAATATCTTCCCATCATGTTCAAAGTTCAAAATCCATTACTATACTCTTATACAAAGTTCAAAGCTCATGTTGTGAATACAGAGTACACAAATGTTATGTTAAGTGATTAAAGATAAGTTTTGAAAGACTATAAGTAGAGGGGTAGTTGAGAGTTTTTTTTTTTAATTTTAATTTTTTTAGATATGATATTTTATAAACTAGAATTTTCTTGGTTCTTGAATGGGTGGAGACCAAGAAGAATGTCATTATATTAAAAATTTCATACTATATGTATTTCTTTTCAAAGATTTTTGAATTCTTTGTTGTTTTAGATCGTTTATATGTAAACATTTGTTACTCATTTATACGTGTTGGATGTTTAATCTACAGGAAATATGATACTCATTATTTTGATGATTATTATATTATTTTTGTTATTAAGCATTATTATTATTATTAACTCAATAATTAAAACTAACCAAATCTCTATTGTTGGCATAATTTTGAGATGACTTTTTAAAAAATGAATCCAACGTCTAGGGGTCCCCAAGAAGAAATGAGATTTTTACACTAACAATAAATAATGACCAGTTTTGTTTTAATTTCGATCCTCAGAAAAAAAGAGGGACCCAACATTTTCAACTGTACCAACCACTTAAAAAAAATAGCAGGAGTTCGGCCATGTTCTCTTCACACTCTAATCTGATTGGATCTGACCTAAATGTAATTATATTTAAAGCTAGTTTTGAACTAATCTGATCTGATCAGAACTGATTCCAATAAGAAATTATAATAAGTTGAAGGAAACATGACCTTCGTCCACCAAAAAGTATGATACACTTTTGGCAAAACTGGTTTGGAATATACAGACGACATAAGTTATGTTACATACAACAACTTAACAGCCTATCAAACCCCTTGAGTTATACACATTTATGTAAGCTGAGATCTTAAGCACAAATAAGGAGAATTATAAATCATGTAGTAGTAGAAATTTAAGACTGACCTGTACATGCTGTTTAAGGTCACAATCTTCAATCTCTGTCATAAATCACAATGGTCTTCGCCTCACACACCTCCCGATTTGAATTCGGACAAACCAGTTAACATTATCTCTCATCAGTACCGAGAACAGACTCCGCTGGAAAAGGGTGGGAAAAGGGGCCCACGCTGCCATGCCGGAAAAATTTGAACAGCCGGTCACTCTTCAAGACAATGGATTGGATCCTTTTGTCCCCAAACAAGGGCCTCACTTTGGGTACCAGGTCATTGTGTGTAAGAAACTGGTTGTAATTTCTGATCACATTTGGTGCAGTTACTAGGACAGGTTTTTAGGGCAGAGGATTTGATTTACTGGATCTTAACCAGAGAGCCATGAGTGTCTAAAGATTCTTGTGTCAAATAACTGCAACTCAAGCAGTTCAGCCCAAACGACCAGTGATATGTTTTGCCATGGGCCAACTTCGGAATGCCCACAGGCTACAAGCACAATATTATTCTTCTTCAACAGATCAAGCCCCATATACTACTCCTCCACCAGTACCACCAAAACCACCACCACCACCACCACAAAAAAAGAGTCATGGGATTTCAAATCAGAACAACTCATGTTAATACTCCGGAAAATTTGAGATTTTAAAAGGAAACTGGTAATGCTTAATTACCATCAGGTACAACTCAAAAATGTGGGATCCATGTAATCTTGGAGTATTCTTGTAAAATCTCTAATCCCTAGGAGTATTGGCATGAATTTTTCCTAAAAATTCTGGTAAGCTAAAAATCATGAATCATATTTAGAAAAAAAAACATTTGTTGGTTTAACTAAAATTATCATATGTAAAGTAGCTTGTGTGTATTCTTTTGACTATTTTTTCAGAAAAATTTGGTATGTTTGATCAATTTAGACTCTTTGTTTTGGGACCAAAAAAAACATTTGAAGCATGACTCTTTTTTGGAGAGAGGCGGTATTAGAAAATCATGTATCATAATCTGTATCGGGGCTATTCATAGGCTTTGATTGCCTAAGCAGATGTCCCTCCTCATCATATAAGTCAAGATTCTCACATGGAGTAGGGAAAACTTTACCAATCACACGCCCTTGGACGAAAGAACACTGGAAGATATGCTTCTTTTTATATGTTATCCCAACGGACATGTTCTGGAAAGTGACATTCTGCACAGGAATCTCAGGGCTCCCATAGATACGTACTGGGATACGAACTCCCCATCCACTGATTCCGATAAAGCTTATGTTTTTAATACTTGGAAGAGCTTTTGGGTCATACCCTTCATCCGGGTGCTCATTGTAATCAGTCTTAAGCACTATGCCCACACGGACATTGGCTAAGGTCAGGTTGCGGTAGGTTATATTTTGGATGTATCCACCTCTTCCTTGACTTGTTTTGATCCGAATGCCTCTCTTTGAGTTCCACACCAGGAGATTATCCACTGTTACATTTGATACTCCACCAGACATTTCACTGCCAATTGATACTCCAGCACTGCAATGAACACAATATACAGGTTTTACTTTTATTTTCAAAGTCACTACTAGTTTTAAAATATGTGGAAGGGGGGATTGAGTGAAAGTTTATGGAAGCAATCTGGAATTAAGCTAGCTTATAAGCTTAATTATTAGCAATCTTAAAGAAAGTTTTTTAAATAAGTTGTGTTTCATTCAGTGATGAGCTTTTGATTGTAGTTCTATTTTTAACCCTGCTTTTATATTAAAGTTATTCTAAACCTTTTTTTAAGTCATTTTATATTTTGAACCTAGCTTTTCAACTAATAGTCACCAAACACTATGGAATCAGGTGAACTTATCTGTTATAACTTTTAAATTATACACAAAGTAGAAGGTACCAATAAACTTATCAACCAATAGCTATTTCAATTTACAAACATAGCCTAAAGTATGCATTCACATTCTGAATGATTATCTTCTTCCATAATAAAATGTTTTGAAAATTATTAGTAGAGAAAAGAAACAGATAGACACATCACCTTATCATTGAGCGCACAATGACATTACGAATTGTGATGTTCGTGGAAGGCTGAGAGTAAGCAATTCCATACTGATCCCACCCACTCTTAATTGCAACTCCATCATCTCCAACACTTATATAGCAATCCTCTATAACCATATTCAAGCAGGAATCTGCACATGCCACCAAAAATTAATATGTGATATTTGTTAGTTCTTACAGACAATGTCTTTCAAGACTTGCATGAAACAAGTCTAATTGCTCATAATGCATTCAAATGAAAATCAAGAATCAAACCAAAAGCATTATTATGGATTTGAACTTACCGGGATCTATTCCATCAGTGTTAGGGGCTCCCGACAATGGAGCCAATATCGTCACACTTTTAATTGTAATATTCTGACAGTCATAAGGGTGAAGGTTCCAGAATGGTGAATTGCGAAAGGTAACATTAGAGATATGTATATCTTTAGACCACATGATTTGCAGAAGAGGGCCTCTAGTAAAGTTCAGCAACTTTTTACGGTGCTTTTCCCACCACGTTTGGCCTTGTCCATTGATGGTTCCATTGTTTCCTGTTGTTCAGCTATGTGAAGTTATGAACATTTAAAATTGTGATTTACTAAAATAATTTTTTTTGACCCCCTAGACCCCAACATAGTTGGCATTTACTACTATAAGAATTTAAGGCACTTATATTCAGGAATGTGTGCATTTTAATACTCCATTTAAACATTTTAGCCTTTCAGTAACAATAAATTATATCGATCACAAAAATTAAGAGGACGGCAAAGTTGGAAGTAAATATTTAATTGCACTTAAAAAATCAAAAGTGACAGCGATTTTGAAATGAAATTTTGCTCTGAACTGATAATTATTTTGAAACATTCATCTTATAATGGAATTGGACCTTATTGCTCAATGCTCATGGAAACATGAACTTCAACAACGACAATCATATGTTCCATTCAGTATATGACTGCGGTATATGACTGATGATGGCATAACTCTATATTTTCATAAGTCATAACCATAAGAACAAAAGTTTATGAAAATTAAAAGAAGCAACCACACTTGAAGAGCATATTACAAATTCCACTAGAACTAACCTGTAATAACAACATCCGTTAGATTTTGACCATGGATTAAACTTCCATACCGTGGTCCAGGACGTTCTCTTCCATGTCCATAAGAAGGCAAAGGAGGCATCAATGGCCAATATCGCTCGTCCTTCCAAGAGTGGAGTACACTTATAAGTTTTGTTAGCAGTAGCTTCTAATAATTGGTGAAGCCCTTATGTCTACCAGTGATTAGAGAGAGAATTTTAATATTACCAAGACAACAAACCCAGCAAACCCCGACAAAAGTAGAGTCTGATGAAGTTGCTTCTACGAAAAACCTTACCCCTAGTCGGAAGTAGAGAGGTTGTTTCCAAGAGACCCCAGCTCAAACACAAAAGCACAAAAAAACTAAACATGGTAGTGCGAAGAAAGAGAGAGCACAAAAGCACTGAGCACACATACCGACACTAGCAACTAGGTCCAAAGCATAATAGAAGATTTGCCCAACTACTCTAAATAATCTAAACTCTAAAGTATGATACTTTTTATACCTTGACTTGGGATGAAGTATATGTATCTTTTGAGGGTTATTTGGCTGAAATAGTTTCTTGTTGAAACTGTTTTACTTTTTTAAACAAGTAACATTCATTTCAGCCAAATAAGTAGATATTTATTCTAGTTATTCTATTGATACATAGAATAAGCCGAAAGTTGTGTTGCAAGGATTCTTTAAATGAGCATCCTTTCTTGACCCTAAAACGTCCCATTTGGGCACTTTGAGTCGCCCAGACACCCAAATCTTTTGTAAATTTTGGGTTACCAAAAGTATTATGAGTCTCCTACAACATAGCCTGGAACTAACTACCGAATGGAGTCTAACATTAAGAAATGAATGTTACCAAAAGTATTATGAGTTTCATTCCTTCATTGGACATGACGCTTCATTCCTAGGGAAGCCATTCAAGTGTAAATTAAGTATAGATGTAAAGTGTATAAATGGGAATAATTCCAGTTCCATTAGCTTTGAATTTGGGTTAAACAAATTTACAACAGTTGCTAAAGTAAAACAAATTTACAACAAAGGTCAAACTGAACTTACATCAATTCCAAGTATTTCCGCATTTTCACTGAGGAAGAGAGTCATGTGGCTGGTGAGATTGAAAGGCGCGGTGAGCCAACGACCAGGCTGGACATTGAGCTGCCCCCCACCGCGTTCCCGGATCTCGGAAACCGCCTTCTCGAACGCTTCTGTGTTCACAGTGACGCCGTCGCCCACAGCTCCGAAATCGGAGAGGTTGAATGCCGGAGAACGGAGCACGGGGATAGGCCGATGAGACGGAGGCCAGCGACGGTAGACGAACATCCTATCCACGACGTTCCTCTGCCATGCTACGATGAGGACAAATCCGAGCAACCAGGAGAGGGAGAGGAGAGCGCGGTGAGACAGTAGGAATGAGGGAAGCAAGTGCGCGTAGTCTGCTCTCCGGCGTTGGAATCTCAGGGAATCCGCCATTGATTCCCGAGAAATTCACAGACTGATCTCTTTCGAAATTTATCGGGGAGAGGATTTAGTTGTGAGATTGCTTCAGTTTTCAGCTTGACGATGACGATGAAGATTTTTTTTTTACTACGCCACCAATTCAATCTTTATTGGGCTTAGATGTGTCTGAAACTGGGCCACATTCAAAAATTAGCAAATTCTTTCGTAAATCTAAGGTCCATATCTATTTTATTAATCTTAGTACATTTATAACATAAAATGAGTGAGCTTTTAGCAAATAAGAAAATATCCACATGTAGGCCCATGGAAAATTTAAGAAAGTCCACATTTAAGCATAACTCATCAAAATCAGATTAGATTAGTTCAGATCAGTTTAGATTTGATTATTTTAGATCATCGACATCTTTAAATTACTCTAGAAGTAGATCAGATCAGATCAATTTCATTTATATTAGATGACTCTTAAAAAAATTCAAATAAGATACTCCCTCCGTCCCCCTAAGATGAATAGTAAAAGTTGTATATATAGTCGATTTTTTACCCATTGAGTTACCCCTTGGAGAGGCTCCCAAAAATACTTTACTCCCACTTTCCATTGTTACTTTAAATCTGTTGAGTTAATTCTCAAAATTATACCCAATAATTAATCCCCAAGATGAACTAATTACCGAGATAGTACTCACTAATTATAAATAATGCTCAGTTTAGTTCCCCCAACTAACGGTCATCAAAATAGCGTTAAAACAACATTTATATTAATTTTCCAGATTAGTCATCTATAATTTGATGTTTTTTCAAATTAGTCTATTTTCGATGTAAAAATTAATTTAATATATCATATCAAAGCAGAATTCTTGCCTTTTAATTAATTTACAGTGTTTGAGTGAAACCGAGAAACCATTTTTATGAGTTTTTTGTTGAAAATTGACTAATTTTGAAAAATATTTAATTGGAAATGATCATTTTAAAAAATAAGTATAAGTTTTAATGTTATTTTGACACCATTTTGATTACGGTTAGTCGGGAGACTAAACTGGACATTATTTTTAATTAACGAGCACTATCTCGGTAATTAGTTCATCTTAAAGACTAATTTGGAAAAACAAATAATTATGGAGTACCATTTTGAGAAATTAATCATATATGATGTGGGACTATAATTTCCTTTTTATATGTGCAATGAAAATTTATATTCCATATGTGCCTAAGGACAACTCTAGAAAGAGCTAAGATTGTTTTGCATTGCCAACGTGAAGTCGTGAATGAAATTTATAAGATGCGATTATATATTGGTCGAGGATGTAACTTTGCACAAATATTGTATACGAAGCATTCAATATAAAGAGATTTTTAATAATTTATATTATTTGAACCACTTAATTATTACTCCAATTATTTAAAAAGTTATTAAAAATAATCTCATAAAATGCACCCAAAAAAAACTTATAGTTTCGCTAGGCAAGTGCGGGGGTGATCCTTTTTTGGGAAGGTTTGCTTGGGCAGTTTCTGATCTTGGCTTGAAAATTTGTTCTGGCTCTTTAACTTGATGGATCAGTCCATATTCTATTGGTAATATTCATTTGGTTTAAAAAAAAATCATTTCCATTCATTTCCCATTAGATATTGTGGGCATGGAGCATTTAATAATTTGTAATAATGTTGTAACAAGAATCACGATTTAAAAAAAAAACACAACACACGCCAACATTATTTATATTTTATCAACGAAAAAAAATAAATCACGCCCTATAGTTGCATAGAGATTGAGCCCAACAAATTACATAATTTAATTAATAAAGATTTCATAAAAAAGTACTATGTAACTATATAAGTGACAGATAGTTTATACCATAAAATAGACATGGTTTTTTTTACCAGATATGTCTTCCCCATGTTCCAAATGGCTAGAAGAACTTCAATTTCCCTTTGGCAAATGCCTTCCCATGTTCCAAATGGCATGCAGCTTTCTCAGTGCCAGTAAATCCGGAGCACGTGCCGGCTGCGCCAAGAGTGACTGCAAAATAGAGATATATGGTGCAGAGGAACCCTAGCAGGCCGAGGGCTGTGAGGAGGAAGCGGTGGCGGTTGATCAGTGTTGAGCAGTTCCCGAGCTCGTGGTCATCGCCTCGGGTGCTTTGCTTCTTGAGTGATGGCGAGGCCGAGAAGGCGCTTTGTAACTGGGACCTCCTATGTGGTGACGATATTTTGGTGTCCAGTGACATGACTGTGTGTATTTAACCAGAAGAGAAAATGGAATGCAGACAGCTACCAGTCCAGTACCTGATTCAGTTCAGCTTAGTAAGTACAAAAGGTTCTTTACCAAAGAAGAGTATTAGTAATATGGGTCATGCTACAATCACACCGCGGATGACCCCAACGTTGACACAGCTAGTGTCTCCTGGACAAAGACGGTTGACAACAATAGATGTCTGTGTGTGCGCGATTGTCTCTAATGGTACCAAACTTAATGTCATCTTTGGGGTTAGAGTAGCATTCTTCTAGTAATATATAATTCATGTTACCATGAATAGACATATGATTTAAAACCAAAACACCAAATGTAATGCTGTCAAACTTAGTGTCGTCTTTGGGATTAGAGTAGCATTGTAGTAGTAATATATACTTCGTGTTTCAAGGAATATACATATGATTTAAAACTGATTCACCAAATGAAATGAAGCCCAATACTATACCACTGCAAATAGTGACCAGTGGTGTGTAGTGAAATTCGGTAGCACAATGTTTAAAATCAGCGAGGGAAACATAACAAATATGATGTAGTTAGTAAAAAAAGTGACTCAAAGATTAAGTACTGGAGTGACTAAATCTGCTGAAATTCATCCATTTGGCAAGGCTCAAAGTGTATGAAGTGGTTAAATCGGCTGGAATTAATGAAGTTGTGACTGAAACTGATTTGGTTGAATCATCTAAAATATTATTTGAAAATAATTATCTAAATAAATTGAAGAAAATAACATCTAAATATAAACTCAAAATATCAACCCCAGCCAAACAATTTAATGTGGCACACATTGTTTTATTGTCAGCCAGTTGCAACAATAGTTGGCGTTAGAACATTCTAATTCCATTTGGTGTAGAACGGATAGCAAAAACTAGATGATGTTTGGTAAAACCAAATCAAATGTATCTTACACTAAATCACTGCATGTTATCACGGTCTGTCAACCATACCTTAAAGCATAACAGAAACCTCAAAGTGGTATAAAAATAACGCGTGTACCATTAAAGTGGCTCATTGAATTCAGACCTCCCATAATGAAAGACAATCAAATGTTCGTGTAATGAAAAGCTTTTTGTGCACGACCAACTTCTACACCCCATAGTCCCATACATAGGTAACATAAGCAACAACTGTTTGTTCTTGACAGACGGCCTGGGTCATTGTGTGCACAGGAACAAGTCTGATGTCTAAAAACAAAGATGTTGTGTGTGTGTGTGCGCGTGTGTGTCTTGCGTGCAGTGTATAAGGCGGTGTACAAGTTGGCTATGACAACGTAGCTAAGCCTAAACTACATTAGATTTCATTACACTACAAGACACGATGGGGTACATGCGAATTGCATCTTCAACACGGTCTTTAATGAATTAGTGCAACAAAAAACTTTCCAGGAAACACAATACAATCAATCTCTCAAAACAACAGTTGCATACTCTAACACTTGTGATAAAAACTGGATTTGCACTAGAGAATTAGTCTGAGACAATATGACAAAGGATCCAAACTTCTCTCTCATTTTAGCAAAATTCAGTAGATCTCCAACCATCAAAACCTTAGCTACCGAATAAAACAATCAAAGAACAGATATTTCATCTCAGCTCTCAAAATCCGGACTCATCAAATTCTGAATCCAATTAATCACAATTTCATGAAATGGAATCAAGACATAACCACACCAGATCTACAAATACGGATTAAAAATACTCACATAACAAACGAGAAATGATAATTAAACGAAGAAGTAGTAGAAAGACATACGCGGTAACCGTGGATGTAGCGCCGGAAAAAGAAGATGAGGAAGCGAGCGAACTTATGATCGAAGGAATTGATAGCGAAAGGAAACAATAGGTGTCGCTGTCACTAGATTCAATCACAAGAGAAGACAAATTCGTGCTTCGTCTTGCTTTATTCGGAAAAAAATGGGAATTCAAACATAAAAATCAATTACGGGGGAAAAGAATAGAATAAAATAAAACGGGATCGACAGATCTCCGGCGCCGGCGGTTCTCGTCACGACTGTATGGCGGAACGTGCGCGGCGGCGATATTGAGATGTGGCCGATCGGATCTTCTCTTCTACCATGTGAATTGGGGAAGAGAAGGTGAAATTATTATGAACTGGGGAGAGGTGGAGACTGGACCGTCCAAGCCTGGGATCGCAATCCGCGTTTTTAGGAAGTTATACTCCCTCCGTAATTCCGTATAGAGAGCGCACCATGTATTTGAAGTCAAATTTCTAGCTAGTTTATACACAACTATGAGAAGGAAACAAATTGCAAAAAAAAAAATTATTTTCATTTTTTAAAACAAATAATAATATTTTTTTAGTTTAAAGTCAAATGAGATGAATACCTTGGTATATGAAATTTTATGAAATTTATTTTGTTTCATATAAATTTTTCCAAACATTATTCATAAAGTCAAATTTAATTCATTTTATTTACTTTAGTACTTATTTCATAAATAATACGGAGTATAATTTTATCACCTCTTGTTTTACATAACTTTTTGTGTATTTTTCACAATGTAAGCTTCATTTTTTATATTTTATATGTATAATCAAATAAACTAAATTTAAAAAAAAATCGATGAAATCTGAGGGGGTAGAATGTAAGTGCATTGTACACCTTAAGTCACATGAATCTTCGTGTACAAAACAAATTTTTTAAAGCAAATTACTCAGTTTCAACTTTCTTCTAATTTAAATTTTTCCCCGTCCCTTATCATTGCACAAAAGGATTCTAAAAAAAGTACGATCCACGGAGTGCACAGTTGTGAAGTTCAAATGTACACTTTTAGGATCTTGACCATCATCCTCTTCCAGCCAAGAATTCAGCTCATCCCATTCTTCATGACTGAATGTTATAGAGAAGGGATTGTGTGGATTGTATTTTTTCTTCAAAAGTCTTGGGTCGGTATAAGGGGTCTTCACACATTTTGATTTTTTCTTCACCCTTTTGTTAGCATTTTCTGCTACCAACTCCTTCTTTGGGAGCAGTGCAGAAGCCTGTTGTTCAACCACATCATTCGTCACTTGTTCCTGTAATACATAAACAATAAGGTTTAAAATTAAAAATACGTACAATAAAAGAAAGTGTTTGTAAGCCCATAAAATATACACACCTGCTCATACAGAAGCTCAACAGGTCTAAGAGTTAAACAAGCTATAGCATACTCTTGGGTGTTGATGATATTATCTTGATACAACTACATACATGTACAGTGCAAAATAAAATATATGTCAATCATGTCTGGTCATATCTTGGAAAACATACACTTCTCACCTAGTCCAAGAAAAAAAACAGACACTTCTCACATAGTCCAAGAAAAAACAGACACTTCTCACCTAGTCCAAGAAAAAAAAGACACTTATCACCTATGTCATTGCCATAGTCACCGGATATAAGAGAGCAAAGAAAACTAATAACCTTAGCGTAGTACTTCTATTAGAGATATGATAGTAATAAATGGGCAAAAACATGATACGAAGCACGTAAGGAAGTAACACTGAACACATACATTCTGCGTCTGTGAGTAGCATTTCACATACATTTGCCATTTTTTTAAAAACTAAACATGGAATAAAGATTATTCAGAACTTAGGGTTCATAATAGATGATCAAAAAGTAATAATTGAGACAGATAAAACATGATACAAAGCAGGCAAGAACTGTAAACAGAAAATAGATATTCCGCGTCTGTGAATAGCAGTTCACATACATTTACCATTTTTTCGGACATAAACATAAATAACGGTAATTAGGAATTTAGGGTTCATATTCCAAGATGAAAACGTAAAAATTCTGCATATGAATACCTATTTCTTCTACTTCGGACCACGCATTTCATTGGTGTATTTAATCGCTGCAATTTACCATTTTGGCTAGAAATTTGATGTAATTAAGCCCTTAAAAGGTAAAAATTCAGCATAATAATACCTGGAAGGTGATGATGTTGCGAGAGACAATCACCGGCCCTGCGAGAGACAATCACCGGTGAGGGACGGCGATAAAGACAATCCGAGGGGATGATGCTGCGAGGCGCAGGGACGGCGCGATGAAGACAATCCCAGGCGATGATGCTGCGAGGCGCAGGGACGGCGAAGCAGGGAAGGTGCAGCGAAGCAAGAAGGGGCGGGGGGATAAGGGGGAAACCTAGAGAAAGAGAGAAATTTTATTTTTTTTTGGGTGGAGGGAATTTTTTGGAGGGGGGGTGGAGGGAATTTTTTTTGGAGGGGGGTATGGAGTATATGGGGGACATCCGGTGTACATATCCGGTGTCCCCATAGAATTATCCATTTGAAGTCAAATTTCTAGCTAGTTTATACACAACTATGAGAAGGAAACAAATTGCAAAAAAAAAAAATATTTTCATTTTTTAAAACAAATAATAATATTTTTTTTAGTTTAAAGTCAAATGAGATGAATACCTTGGTATATGAAATTTTATTAAATTTATTTTGTTTCATATAAATTTTTCTAAACATTATTCATAAAGTCAAATTTAATTCATTTTATTTACTTTAGTACTTATTTCATAAATAATACGGAGTATAATTTTATCACCTCTTGTTTTACATAACTTTTTGTGTATTTTTCACAATGTAAACTTCATTTTTTATATTTTATATGTATAATCAAATAAACTAAATTTAAAAAAAAATCGATGAAATCTGAGGGGGTAGAATGTAAGTGCATTGTACACCTTAAGTCACATGAAACTTCGTGTACAAAACAAATTTTTTAAAGTAAATTACTCAATTTCAACTTTCTTCTAATTTAAATTTTTCCCCGTCCCTTATCATGTTGGTCGATTTGCAACAATGTTATTGTTTTCAATGGAAGGATTTGAAGAGGCAGGTGGTGCAGGGCTATTGATATTTTGGAACCCAATAAAATATGGTATCACAATTACATTACTGTCATAGGGATTAGTATAATATTGGTGTCCCATGTCAAATGATCCTTATTGGCATCTAATTAGCCAATTAGGAAGTGATTTTAAATTTTAATTAGAGATTTTTTTAAATTCAATTAGCGAGATACTCGTTCGTAGTATTCAATTAATATCTATAGTTTCTCCATTTTTAGGGTAGCATAATGTACATGAAAATTTATTCATTTTAATAGAAAATTAGGAGATTTAAAAGTTTAATTGTATTCAATACTTACAACTTTGAAAAAAAATTCTTTACTTTATTTGGATTTAATCTTCTCATTTTGACTTTTTTTTTCATTTTTAAAGAAGGTTAGTCATGAAGTGAAATTATCCAAAATACCATTACAAAAAATGGATGTAGACAGGTTGTTGAATTTTTTTAGTGAAGTCGGGGGTATTTTTGTCCAAACACAAATTTATATGAGAAATATGAGTACTAGATCTGGATGGAGAAAATGAAAAAACGAGAAGCTCAAATCCAGACAGCTGGAGTAATATTTAGTTTTAGTATTTTTAAAATTATTCTACACTATTAAAAATAATTCAAAATAACAAAGCTAATTAAAAGTATTATTATAAGACGATAATCATTAATCTGTAATTATTTACACAAAAAAATTATCAACCCCAAAATGGTAGAAATTAAAGAATCGCTAAATACTACTCTTTCGGTTTCAAATTATATCCTCCGTTTTCACTTTATGATATTTGACTCAAATAATTTTTATATCAAAAATTTAACAAAATAAAAAGTGATACTACTTTCATGTTTTTATTCCCGAAAGAGGTAGTAGATTGTAATTGTAATTAGGAAAATGCTATTTTAACTCAACATTTGGACGCAAGATTTAACTCGAATCTTACAAATATTAGAGAAAAAGACAAAAGTAGAATTAAAACATCGAGTAAAGTATCAAAATAAGATTTTTCATTTTTTTTTTCCGAAATAGGAGTTAAAATGCATTTACATTACCAAACATGGTCATGTACATACATTACTACATTACCAAAAAGTATAGTATTGTGCACATATACAGTGTAACATTACCCCAATGTGAAATCCTATTTCGAAAATAAAAGCAGAAAAGTCAACTTTCCTCTATGTTTGTAATTAAGTGAAATAAGGAGGGAGTATTTGGGAAAGATGACAAATGGCGGCGGGATGGATACGTTAAACGTATACAAACAAAAAAAAAGCTCTAATCCGCAGGCCGTTGTGATCAACGCTCCTTTATCACGAGAAAGCGGGGAGAACCACGTCGTCTTCGTCATCAATGCCGCCATCATCATCATCTTCTTCGCGTCCGTTTCCTCCCTTATCCTTACCCTTTTGCCTGCTTATATGTTGCTGTATTTGATTCCAATATCGCCGGCCTCCTCATTCACCATCATCAGGGAAGAAACCCGGCCAAAATCTGCTCTGCCTTTCATTGCTGATTATCCGAGGAATTCGCGCCAAATCCGTGCCGATCATCTTCATCTGCGAGGCGCTGCTGCGTTTTCGATTCGCGGAGGTCGCCGCCGCGCTGCTGGAGGAGGAGGAGGGGGAGAATCATGGATAATAAGAAGAAGTATCCGATTGGAGCGGAGCATTACGAGCTGTATGAGGAAATAGGGCAAGGAGTTAGCGCCTCCGTCCATCGCGCTCTCTGTATCCCGCTCGATGAGATCGTGGCCGTCAAAATCCTTGACTTCGAACGTGATAACTGCGATCTGGTATAAATTTTGCTTTTTATTTTGGATTTTTTGAATATAATTTGATGCGAGTATGTACTGTGATTGAGTAGATCAATTGTTATTGAGAAGTTCACATATGCAATCCAGCAGCTGTTCTATGTCGATTGGACGAGTTAATTTGATCGAAATCACATTCTTCATATATGTTCTTAGCGAATTCATTGGCATGATGTAGTAGTAATTAAGGAGTAGTAAGTACTCATCTCCCACCAAGTTGGACATATAAACCAATGACTGGATCAGCTTTTGTTGCTTTCAAGTTATACTCTTCAAACACTTCCAATTGAAGAAAAAACAAGTTCTACTGTTTGCTTTGATTTTTTATTTAAATCTTGTTGTGAAATTTTGTATTGTTTGTTCTTTTAAATTGAATTGAATACAGTGGAAATAATGTGAGTAATGAGTTTCAGTTAGTGTGCAGTAGAGACAGTAGTCATGCACCATTTAATTAGCTCCCTGCAAATGGTGTATGTACATGATTGTTTCTTAGGTTTCAGCAGGTTTTGCTTGAACTCAATAACTTGGCCAAGATTGCTCCACTATGCCAGAGTGCCAGTATTTGTATTTTAATTTGAAAAAAATACTTTTTGTTGCCTGTTTATTAAGCTCATGAACTGTATGATAAAAGTCATCTGTTTGATCTGATCCCTGCTCTCTGGTCCAGAGTAATGTCTTCCGAGAAGCACAGACAATGGTCTTAGTGGACCATCCAAATGTTCTTAAATCCCACTGCTCCTTTGTCAGTGATCATAATTTGTGGGTTGTCATGCCTTTCATGGCTGGGGGCTCTTGTCTTCACATCTTGAAGGCTGTACATCCGGATGGTTTCGAAGAGGTTGTCATTGCAACAATATTGCGTGAAATTCTGAAGGGTTTGGAGTATCTGCATCACCATGGCCACATTCATAGAGATGTGAAGGTCAGTTTTTAAATAATGATTTTACTCAAACTTTCATGCCTGTATGGCTGTATATGCGGATTTCTTCCTCTATCTGCTTGATTGATTCGTTGGATCTTTTATGAGCATTGCATATTGGTTCTTCAAGATTGTTGTTTAGCATGAAAGTTAAAAATTATCATTCACATCTGTACCTAAAAGAGGCATTTTTACGATGTTTTAACTTTGGGCAAGTAATAGACAAAATCAAAATGACAAATTGAATTTTCCCGGTTCTTACTTTCTATGAAGTTTTCCAAAGAAAATGCAGCAATGCAAGAAAGCTCTATAGGGAACTACGTCTCTCTTTTTTATAAGGGTACCATACTGTTGAACCCCTGGACCCCAATATTGGAGTTTGGATTATATACTAGGTTTGTTGTTGTTGTATGCTTAGTTCGAGATTAATAATCTCATATTACAAGAAACGGAAGCAATTTAAGAATCATGATTGTAGGCCGAATGAAGCAGCACTTATTGACTATTGCTTGATTTGCATCCTTTTTTATTTGTAATTTCTCAGGCTGGAAACATTCTTATTGATGCACGGGGTGGAATTAAGCTTGGAGATTTTGGTGTTTCTGCTTGTTTGTTTGATTCAGGTGACAGAACACGCATGAGAAACACATTTGTTGGCACACCTTGCTGGTAAGCTTTATATTGGTGCAATAATATTTCTTATCTATCTGTATTTTGCCGCACCACATGAGGTTTATAAGAATGACTATCTGTTTATTAATAATTACATTTTCAACACTTTCCATCCTGACTGGGTATTAGATGACATGGATATTAATTTCTTTACATTTATGAATAAATCATTCTATTTTCAGGATGGCACCAGAAGTTATGGAACAGCTGAATGGGTATGATTTCAAGTAAGTGCAGTTAAATTTTTCATTCCTTTTAATTATTGGGTCCATATACATTTGCTAACCTTTGTAGTATGGCATATTTCAGAGCAGATATATGGTCTTTTGGTATAACTGCTTTGGAGCTTGCCCATGGCCATGCACCTTTCTCAAAGTATCCTCCAATGAAGGTGAAAGCCAAAGAAGGATGACTTTTTTCCCTACATTTTTCATCCACCATGGCACCCTTACATTGTCATTTATATTTGTCACATTGTTTTTTTATCAGGTTCTGTTGATGACACTACAAAATGCACCTCCTGGCCTTGATTATGAAAGAGACAAAAAGTTCTCCAAGGTATGTTGGAAAGAAAAATGTTTTGAGGATGGTTTGCTACAAGAAATTTGACTTGATTTATTTGTTTCCTTATCTTAGTCATTTAAGCAAATGATTGGTAGTTGCTTGGTAAAAGAGCCTTCAAAAAGACCCTCAGCCAAGAGGTTATTGAAACATTCTTTCTTTAAACAAGCTCGGTCAAATGATTATATAGCTCGGACATTATTGGAGGGCTTGCCTGCTATTGGTGATCGTATTAGGGATTTGAAGGTTACCTCTGATGCACATAATACAGCCCCCACCCCATGCTCTATTAGTATTGTTGCCTCTTTTTCTTGTACTCTATATTAATACTATGGGTTCTTTCTCTTAACGTAGAAAAAAGAAGAACAAATGTTGGCAAAAAAGGAAATGCCAGATGGTCAAAAAGAAGAGATATCCCAGGTTTGATTTCTGTTATCCGTAGCCGCATTAATGGGCCAAATGAATGATGGTATCTTGATTTTTAGAAAAAAAATCACGCTAAAGAATTTTCAACTTAGTACAAAGTATTTCATAGCATTGTAATATTTTTTAAAATCCACTTTACTTATTTTCTTATTTTCTAATTTTTCTGACTAATGTTGTATTTAGGTGCTTCTTTCTATCAAGTATTCCTATGACATAAAATTTAAAATTTAACTAGTCATGTTTTGTATACATCAATGCCATTTAGCACATAGATATTGTATTATTTGTGAGATGAACATAATCACATATCAGAAGAGTGTGTCAAGACAATAAGTACATAAAAAGGTTTTATGTGAGCTGCTTTACCCTTTGATGTTGTCGACTTGTCGGCAGTCTGCAGAAAGGGCTTTTTTTAAAACAAAAAATTGTACTCTGTATATGGTTCAGTATATATATTTTCTCTTATAATGTCTTCGTACCTTATTTTTTTCTCATTGCTTTATTTCCCCTAAACACTTATTTCCCAGCTCACTTTGCCCTTAAAAAAATGTGCAGAATGAGTATAAGCGCGGGATAAGCAGCTGGAACTTCAACCTTGAAGATCTTAAGGCCCAGGCTTCTTTGGTATGGTCAATAGTGGTTTATTCCAATGATTATGCTTCTCTATTAAGTATAAACATCAGTTATGCCTTGCCCCAAAATTTAAAGTTTTAATCTCATGGGAAAATGAACCTGTCACTCAATTTTTTTCATTAAAAAAAGAAAGTATAAATTAATTAAATCCTCAAATAGATTTATCTTCCTTTTTTTCCCCTTTCAGATACCAGATGAAGAAATTATGTGTGAGAAGGATCAAGTTGGGAGCTCACAATGTCTTGTAGGACTGGACACTAACGGAAGGCAACTTCAGCACCAGTCTTCTTTTTTGAGTCGATGTTCAGACACTGCAGAAAATGTATGTTAATCTCTATTAACATTGCAGTTTAATTTTGGGTTGGATGCCTTTGGTTTATTTCTTTCTAGATATGATATACTCTGTACTACGTATGTGCTTACAGGATGATAACTATGCATCTGCTCCGCTCTCACCTGCTGATCCCACATTAGCTTGTAACATGTATGTGTCCCCTTATAAATCTTTCCAAATATTATTGCACAATGTTTTGAAGGGGAGCTATGCTCACTGATGGATGTATTGCTCTGTGACCTTAGGTCAAGAGTTCGAGTCTAATAGCAACCTCTTGCAAAAACAGGTTGCAAGAAAAGGTTTTTCAACATCATACCCTTGTGGTGGGACCCTTCCCCGGACCCTCGTTAAGTGGGCAATCTTTATGCATGACATCACTTATTGCTCTTTATTGCATAATGTGTTTTCTTCCAGATTCTAAACGTTTTATGGCGTACATCAGAAGCAAAATCAATTTCAAAAGTCTATGAGCATTTTCAGTACTATCCATCTACTACTCTTCATAACTTATATTTTGCATTGACTTTAGTTGTTAAATGTATAAATTGCCTTGTTTTTTTACAGAGCTAAATGCGAAAAATCAGACGGTGATTCAAGTCTTGCCACTTCAGTCCAGGACAACCAAGTCTCAAGAAGCTCTTCTCCTCCTCAACATGAGAATCACATAGAAAGAAATTTACCTGGCAAATCTGAACCTGAGGTTGATGGAAAATTGTCCGGGAGCTCACCTACGGATTCACACCAGAGGTACCAACTTTGTTAATGAACAGAACTCTTACCAATGGGGAAACAAGTTACAATATTGACGAACTGAAGTGAAGTCTTAGTGTTTTGTTATAATGCAAAAAAATTGTCCAGCACTGACCATTGCACCCGGTAAATTTATTGCTGAATTCACAAGCAAATAACCAAGAATATAATCCGCACATTCTTTCTATTTCTGTTAGCTTTCTATCTAATTCGTCAATATTGGATAATGCAAAACTACACACAATAATAATAGGGAGTAATAACTTCGGGGGAAAGGGGAAATGTACTTCTCTGGTGATGTTCAAGTATTCTTCATGAGATCATATGAAGCAATATGTACTTCTAGTGACATTCTCTATCTGTACACTCTCAGCGATAAAATTTCTCCTCATAACAACTCAACTTGCAATGATGCACCAGCTGAAGCCGTTAATCGAACTTGTAGAATATCTAGTGAGTTACTATGGTTTTCTCTCTTTTCCGTATTAAACACCTCTGGCATACAGTTCTTTACCTTGACTTTAATGCAATTCATTGAATCTCAAATTAATGCATGCAGCAAATGGTGATGATTATGATGAGAAGACAAAGTGCCCTGTTGTTCAGCAAAAAGGACGTTTCAAAGTAACCTCTGAGAATGTTGATTTAGAAAAGGTTTGTTTGTAAGCATAAGGGTTCATTTGGTTAGTTAACAAAGGAATAAGTACCTAGATGAGTACATATACCTCATGTCTACGTTGCTGACAGTAGGAAGACGACCAGAAGCTTCAGCCCAAAGTGACCATGACTCCATCTTTGGACAAGAACCAAGCCCTGCTTTTATTCCTTAATTCAAACCAAATACTTGATTTAAATCTATCATACCTAAACTCATACATTCTTGCCTACCTCCAACTCGATACCAGAATATTAACCTAACGGATCCTAAGCTAATCCATGCTACTACATAGTAATTAATGGAAAACTGCTTCTTGACAACTTATTTCTTCATGTAGGTTCCTTCTTCTTCTTCAATACTACAAAAAAGCCACAGTGTGCAGGTAATTGGTTACTTCTCTCAGGCCCAAAACTCTACTCCCTTAGTTCCCCCAAAAGTCATATTCCAGATTTTTCTTTTTCCTTTTTGTCCCAAAAAGGACATTTCTCATAAAATGGAACGGGTTTTTCTTGAGTATAATTTGCTCAAAGAAAGGTTACAAGCAGTTCAGTATCATAAATTTTGTTGATCCAAAAGTAACTTTTCAAAATATATGTATTGTTTCTTTTATTTTGATTGAAAAATATATGTAGAGCCCATTTGGCAACAGTTTCAGCATTTAGCACTATCATTTTGAAAAGCATATCTGATGACAACGTTTAGCTTTAGCATTTTCATAGTTAATCTACACCATTAAAAATTATCCAAATTGCTAACTGAAATTGTGGTTCCCAAACAAAACCATAGAGTTTCATGACTTTTCAGTGTTGTGCTTTTTGGTATCCTTAAATTTTAAAGTTGTATTTTGGCCAAACATGACTCTTGTTTTGGGTAGGAAAGTATTAAAACTAATATTGCTAAAATTTGTGACCATCTCACCCTAGGAAGTTCTTACTACAGCTTTAATCACCCTCTCTATGTTGTAGTTGTGACACAATGTGGTTCAGAAATGTGAGATTATGAAGGATGTATTACATTTGATGCAGGCTCTTACTCAGCATTCATCTGTGTCTCAATCATTGCCATCAGACTCCATTGCTGTAAATATTCTTCCAGTCAATTCGTTGTTCAGGACGTTGCAAAACATATTGCAGGCAAATGTTATTCAAAGGGTAATCTTTGGCCCGAACTTGATGATATTCGTGCATTGTTTTCAATTTTCTCAATTCAGAAAATATTTCATTTTGAACCAAAAATAAACCCATTAAGAAGAAACTAAATGCCCCATAATTCTCTACCTACTTAAAAGGCCCTTAAGAGAGTGTAAGTAATGGAAAGGGAAGGGCAGGAATGGAACTGTGTAAGTACTTACATTGTACTCCCTCCTCCCAAAATGATCTTTCCATCTGAAATTGACAAAATTTAAGAGCATGTTGACAATTGGTTGATAATGGCATTTAATGTAGAAAACATGATAACTTTCTCTATTCTATATTAACCTTGTATTTTGTTTTGAATCTTGAACTTTTGAGTCTTTGACCAGCAATATAGAAAAATATACAATGATTTAAAAAATATATTTATGCCATAAGATTCATTTAGAAAAAATATATTAGTATTACAACGTAATGATTAGATTGAAAGCAATAAAATATGCGAGATATAAAACTTAATAAAGTTTTTTTTCGTATTTCAAGAATCTAACTAACCGCAAGAGACTCCCACGAGATTATTGGGGTGGGGGATCATAGGGATCACCTCTTGTGAGTCTTGTATCCTAATTCTAGCGTCAACGTGCTACTTGGCAAATTCTCTTCCTAAATCACTTTTTATCTTCTTGGGTTCTTTCATGTTTTAAGTCAAAGTCTCTTCAAAATAATCTCTCTACATTTTAGATTGAGGTAAAGTCCGTGATCACTCATCCTCCTCAAACCCCACTTTTTGTGATTTACTAGGGTTGTTGTTGTTGTATTATTAATATTAATATTATTATTATTATTATTATTACTCCATCTCTCCCTTTTTATTTGTCTCATGTTATTATTCACATAGTCAGTTAATAATTTCTTTCTTTACCAATCTCCTATAATTATTTTTCAAAACAAAATAGTGAATTTGCACCTTATTTAATCAGTTTTTTGATGTAGTTTTAAAGTATAAGACTATTTTAAACATCATTTTTTAATTCACACTAATATTTTAATAAATTAAATTAAAAATAATTTTAGTCAAACATCTTAAAATCGGACGAAACAATTTTAAAGGGACGAAGGAAGTTTTTTTTTTTTTGCTAAAATATTTTAAGACTCACTCTCTTTTGTGGAGGCATTGTATCCCAAAGCTGGACGTGTCCAAACCTTGAATTTTGGACTTCATTTTTATTCAATTTCTCTCGAATATTGCTCAGGCCTTCAGGTTTGGATGGGTAGCCCACTGGCCCATCTCTACATCTAAACCTTCCCTTTCATTACTTTAGACTTCATTAATAAACTCCATCATCCAAACAAGCCCTTAACTTTCCCATTTGATTTCTTTATCACTATAACAGGAAAGTATCCTTAGCTTGATGAGGCAAGCCTCTGGTTCTGACTCTACTGGTAAGAGCAGTTAAAGAGTGTCCCATAACTTTCATTTATTATTATAATTATTTGTACAGCCTTACCCTTATTTATTGTTAAAGCATTCATTTCCCTCATGCAGTTGACAGTGCAGGCCTTTCTTTAAACCAAGAAACCCCAGAGAAATCACTGGTACGTGTTGTTTAGTTATGTATCCCCCCACCCCGCCCCCACGCCATAAATTTAACAGAAAATATAATACTCGTACTCCGACCTGGCAAAACAGACCCGGACCCGATAACCCGGAACCAAATCTGAAATGACCCGAAAGTTGAAGAACCGAATTATACCCGAACACCCAAAATTTTCCGAACCGAATCGAAACCGAACCAAATGTATTCAAACCCGGTTCAGATCCGAATTCGATTGAACCCGAACCGGTTAAACTCGGGACCGATTAGACCCAAAACTGATTAGATCTGAAACCGATTAGACCCGAAATTGATCAAGTTCAAAACAAATTAAAGTCAAATCTAGTCAAACCTAGTAGCTCATTAGTTGATGTCTTTCTAGGAAAAATATATTTGAATTATAAGTACAACTGATTTAACGTACAAATCTTTTAGTATGTATTTTATCACTTAAACTAAGGTGGTTGCCTATTCTTGTACAGAGTATATATGATTTGTAGTGACATCGAACACACACTGATGGATATATTGGCCCATTATTGGTGATACTTGTATATATACCCCTTTTACACTTGGGGGGGGGCTACACACAAGGCTAACATTAGGAAATCTAATATCAAGAGATCTCATCTGAAACCGGTATAAACCAAAAGCGATATAAACCTGAACGGGTATAAACCCAAACCAGCATAAACCCGAACCGATATAAACCCGAATCGATATTTAACCGAACCGGAAAAAATCAAACTGAATTAAACTCGGAACCGAACTTAACCGACCCAAACAGATTATAACATATACCGGAAAGAGACCCGAACCAAAATGATTCAAACCGGAATCGAACTGATTGACCTAAAGAATCTTATATTCTCCTTTTCCATGTTTTCAAAATAAACTTTGCATTTCTCACATTTGTTTCTAAAGAATACGAGGCTGACAATAATTCTTTCATTTCTAAATAAATTTTAACCACATACTTCACTTTACAACACTTTTTTTTGAACTTCTTAAACGCAAATTCCAAATTCTTTTGGTACACTCAAAAACACATACTCTAAAATGTCAATTTGTTTAAGGACAAAGAGAGTATAACATTTTAGTTCTAGACACATCATAGACTAAATCAAAATGGAATATTAAGCCTCCTTTGCTAGCTTCTTTCTTTCACTGATGTTTTTGGTAGCAATGCATCTAGGGTCTAACAAACAGACACAACTTGTCTCCTTTCATAAGGGTAAGATTGTAGATCTTAACCCCATGCCCTAATGGAAAGGATTAACCCCATGTGCGAGGGCCCCTTAGAATCGCCCGGAGGGTCACGTGATATGAGTTAAATCGGGCTTTACCGTGCCCTAATGGAGTTTGAAGAGTTGCATAAAGAAAAACAAAAACAAAAACATACGGAGTATGCATTAAAGTGTGGTCGCAAAAAATGGACTTCACCCTATTTAGGTATTCATATAAGCTTTTGTACTTTAAGTAACTCTGGTCAGCAACACAAAGGTACAATGTGAAGGATAAGATTTTTACTCCAGATTTGATGGTCAATAAACCATCAAGTATGAGCTAGAGAGGTCGGAATGACGCGAGTCATTATATGATTTACAATTGGTAGCGACCTCGGATGATGGAGGTCGAAATTCCCAAGAAATTTTCTATTTTCAAAGTAATCTTTTAAAAGACCATGCATTCTCTTCCAAATTTTGATGACTAATTAAGAACTAAAACTCTATCCACCAAAAACCCCACAAATTGGGAGGATGGAATATGATGAGTTGGAGGAGCCCATACTAATATGAGTAATAACTCTTCCAACCAAACACAAATCACTCAACTTCTCCCCTGTCCCTTATAAAACAATCCATGCTTGAAAAGGTACATATCTCATGCATTCATAATCATGGATGTATCAATTGGCATTACTTGTTCTTGCCCAACACCCAGACATATGTATATGTGTGTGTATATATATATATTGATATACTAAATCTCCTTTTTAACTGTAGCTGGAAGTAGCCCATGACAAAGAGAAGGAATTACTTCGTGAAATCAGTGATTTACAATGGAGGTATTAATGCTCAAAATCCATTCTAAAGTAAACACTCTCACGCGAGGGTGCCAACTGTATTACCCAATAATATTCTATCACTTGTACCAGAGCTGTATATGTGAGAGAATATTATTGGGAATGTAGTTTTCACTCCCCTAGTGTGAGTAGACATAGCACTTGTATAGTGTAAGAAAAAGAAACATTAAATTTCTCTTGCACCATATTCTTTATGAAGTTTTGAAGAGTGAATTGAAAGTCCCTCTATTTTTACCCTTTGTTTTTAAAGGGATAAGACTTTGTATATCTTGAGTCCTTGACCCCCCCGACCCCAACAATATTGGGATTATACTAGGTTGTTAGTCAATGTGTGTGAATTTATATACCACTATGTCCCTATCATATATGGAGCATCTACGACCAATTTCACAGACAAAAACTTGTCTTTGCGGGTTAGTATGGCTCGGAGAGACAAGATTTGCCGTGAAATTGGTTTTTAGTGCACACCTTGACGTTAGAAAAAACATTTGCTATTTGGGCATAATGGTAAATTCACACCCATTTTAAAATTTATTTCTTAAGCCCATCCCTACCCCTACTCATTGTTTAATGTTGTATGGAATTTTGTCTTCTTCCTTGGTCCATCTGCAGGCTCATATGCGCCCAAGAGGAGCTTCAAAGATACAAAACAGAAAATGCTCAGATTAACTCTTGATTTAGATGGAAAACAGCTTTGGCTATAATATATATGAATGTATTTTAAAGAGATCATATAGATGACGATTATAGTTATTTAGTTCAATTACCTTCCAACTCTTTGGTCGGTTCTGAGAACTCTAAGAAATTCTTTTTATAGAAAACCCTTGGATGGATGTATTTGTCCCCATGATGTTTTTATTTCAAATTTTATTTATTTTTCATGTACAGTTAAATTCTTTTTTTTGTGTGTGTGTGATCCAACTAGATTGTTGTTATTGTTGTGTTGACCAGATAAACTCACTTTGTTCTTGTAGTCTCTTTTTCTCCGTAATTTTTTCGCATTCTTAAATAGTGGTATTACACATGTCCACGAACCTTTGGCATAGAAGCATTCGTTTGAATGCGTATTTTTGAAAGTGTTATATATTCACGCATCACACATATAATGTTCACATGATATGACCATATTATCTTCATGAAGAAGAATTTTGTTTGAGAAAAAAGTACACTGGGGATGTGCTTGACAAATCCTATCCTATATCCTATCCTATATCTTATATATATGTAAAGTTGAGTGTGTTGTTTGTGGTGTTGACATGTAGCATGCCACAAGTACATCCACATGTCCACTAATGTATTAGGTGGAAGTATTTCATTGGTCCATTAAGCTTGTTTTTTAAAAGGATCTTTTAATATATTTTATTGTATTATATTAAATGAATATTATTTTTAGCATTAAAAAACATTTCTTTGATTATATTTTGTATAAAATTTAACATTTTCTAACAATTCTATAAACATATATTTCACCATTGTAAAATTTACTCCGTATTTTAAATATGCATATTGGTTGTAAAATTTTAAAGAAGAGTATGTATAAGACTCTTTGTTATTAATTTAAAAATATTTCACTTTCAGAAAAATGAAAAAATATTCCACCTCCGAAGATATTAAATTATTTTTGGCATTTTTATGGTTTATTTAATTTAATATTTTTTAAATAAAATAATTATAGATTTTTTAGTGCATGTACATCAATATTTAAAGTATATTTTTTATTTAAAAAATATACTCCGTATATCTTAGAGTGAAAAAAATATTAATTTAGAATAAATAAAATTATATTTATAGAATGTCAAAAGTTTAGAATATATATGAGCCCGTGCGAAGCACGGGGTTGACACTAGTACTCTTGTACTTGGCATATATTGGTTAGTAAGCAAATGGAAGATGACACATTGCAATTTATTTTTTGTACCAGTGAATTTGACTAAAAGTTTGTAAAAAGATACGTAATTCAAAGAAACTGCAAAAAATGTTCATGACATATATTGCTCGGTACCTCAAGTATGACATCAACTTTGACATCATAACTTTTATAAACATTACAGATACAAAATATTGTTTTATAATTTTGATGTATGTTAAACTTAGAAAATATCAGGATTAATTATAGTTTTTAAAATGTTTGTTTGGTCATTTTGTTCACAATAAATCTAATTCAAAGTGGTGATTTTCCCCATACCACATTTGACATTGTGACACGCCAAAATCGGCAAAAATATCAAAATGTCATTTCAAATGCCCAAAACTTCCAATTCTTGATTTGAAACTCCAATTACAATTGAAGCCAAAAAAACGTGCACTTATTCTCAATCGCCTTCACATTTACTACCTTTACTACATTTCCGCAAGGGACATCATCTTTGGTGGAAAATTATCAGCATACAAACACTTATTTTGGGGAAAGTGTTGGGACAATTTTTATCTTCAAGAAATAACATTGATCTATCACATTCTAAGACCACCTTCTTGAACGGTCACATTTGAAATAAAAAAATTGCTATTTTGTTACTCCCTTTGTCCAAAAACAATTTGATGTTTTAGGTCAAACTGTGGCATTCTTTATTTAAAAAAACTCGATTTTACTAAATTTACATTATAACTGAATATACTTTTTTTCACAATTTGCGGTCAAATGATATCACAGTTTGACCAAAAAGCCAAAATGTGACAATCTTTTAGGAACGGAAGAGTATCATTTATTAATACATACTTGTCACGACATTGTTACGTCACGGGCTTACTTAGCTCTAAATAAATATTTTGTCAATTTTGATCTTCCGAGGGAACTGTTTCAGAATTTGCTCAATTAGGAATATCAAATTATCAACAAATCAGATTTTGAGATACAGAATCAGCAGTTGTTTGTATTTTCATAATTTAAATAAAAACAACCGTCTCTAACCTGTATATGAAAGTTAAAAAAATTGGTAGAATTCAATTTTCACAATGAAAACCAAATATGTCCCACATGTTAGTTTGTTACAACAAACCATAAAACGCAACATAAGCTACACGTTCGAGTCCACAAAAAAACCATGACCAACCTTTTGGTGCATTGAGAAAACTTGTCCCATCAATTTTGCATTTTGCTTTGTTGTATAATCATTCCAATTTTTTAAACTTCAATTCTTTCATTTGCTCAATTTTTACTCTTTTAGTTTGATTTACCTTTCAAGGATTATAACTCGAGAGATCAAATTACTATGTGCACATTTTGGCAAATTTGAGATTAGAGATTATTGGAAAGCTGGGGTTCTCAAGATTCAAATTCGGGTAAGTTGTAAAACAGTTCGTTTGTATATATCTTAGCGATATTGTTTCATGTTTACGCATAGTCACCTTGTTTGAAAATGAAAGTGATTTTGAGAGTTTGTGCTAAACTTTGATTATTGATTTCTCTAAATATAAATTAAAAATAAGGTATACGAGCAAATAATACCCCGTACTTTGTACTCCATATATTGTCATGTACTCCGTATAATTTCTAGATTTTATAATTTTTTTGACAAGATTTCATGATTTTCAACAATGCATTTTATGAAAATTTAAACATCGAAGTTTCGCGCAATTTTTCATAGACGTTCAACATTTTGAGATGCAGATAGAATTTAGGATGGGTATAGTGATAACTGAATTGGGCAATAAGACACTTGGGTTAAACCACATTAAAAGATTGAATCCAATCGATTAGTTAGTTCAACTCAAGAGCTTATATACCGATTATTTTACTCTTAGACTTTCGATGTGGGATGCATTCTAACACTCCCCCTCAAGTGGACAATTGGGTCATTTTGAATCTAACCCGTTGACCACTTGCAAATGGACTCTCTTCCCCTTGATTTTTTTTTGAGCACCAACACCTAAAGGACCACGAGCCGCTGGGTATGGACTTCCTGACAAGCAATCGTGTTAAACATGCCACAAGCCGTTAGGTACATACTCCATACGGACATGTTACTCAGTACTCCCTCTCTTCGTGACTATTTGTTTATTTCTTCAGTCAAATTACACAAATTATAGTCATCTGCTAAATCAAAATTGTATTATATATTAATACAATAAAATGATTGTATGACATTTTTGTTAAAATTCCAACGGACCGAGATCAATGAATGGAGTGTGGGATAAAATTAATCACTTGCATATAAGGTTGGGATCCGCTAAATAATCCAAAAGCTTAAGTTGATAGGTTGGGCTTCACCCTTCTATATATGCTAGTGATATTATTCTATATTTCTGATGTGAGAACTCTAACCGAAAAGATGAGAGTGAACTTTGCCCCACTCTCATCTCCAATGTTAAAAAATAGAAAAAATTAGCAATAAATATAAAATACTTACATTTGGTATTAAAAGTCATCAAAATATCATTGGAGCCCGAGAATGTGGCAAAGTTGTCGCTCAAAGTTGTGGCAAATCTGATCATCATATCATCAATTTTTGATTGCTAGAATGGAAAGTTATCGCTCGAATGAATATCTAGAGATGGAGATGAGAGGGGGATGAGAGTGAAATGACACTGAATTGAGTGAGATGAGAGCGGATGAATTGAAGATGTGGTGAATTTATTGAGTTGAAGATTAAAAAATAAAATATGAAAACAAAAAAATGAAAAAAAATAATAAAAACTCCGTAAATAAATTCCATCGGAGCGGCGCGGCGGAGATATGCAGTGGATGCCGCCGTTGCATTTCAACCTTGCGCAAACCTGCACCGCGGTGCCAGATGCAGTCTCCCTCATGTTGTCTGTGGCCCCTGCGCCCCCCACCGTTAGAAGTGGTTCTACGGCTTTTCTTCTCTCCATTGCATATGCTCTCTTAGCACTCCCTCTAATTTTGTTTGACTAGACTATGGTGGCTCCACCCCTTAGCTAGAATTTAGGATGAGATAAAGATAACTGGATTGAGTTATAAGACACTTGGGCTGAACCACATTAAAAGGTTGAATCCAATCGATTAGTTAGTTCAACTCAATAGCTTATATACCGATAATTTTACTCTTGAACTTCTGATGTAGGATGCACTTTAACAGGACGTTTCCCCGACTCGTGACCAACCCTTCACACCCCCCTTTCCCATGCCATACTAAATACTAGGCACGAAGGGGTGTTGCCCCTTTGGCTATGATAGTCATCCCGTTGTGCGCGCTGGCCTTCTCCCGCTTTATTTATTTATTTCAATCAATCAATGTTTAATTTGTTCATCTTGACTAATCAAAATAATTCATACCTTCATCTCATCTTAACCAATCAAAATAGTCATCAGGTTGGGTTGGCCTCGCCCTCTTCCTCGCACGCTCGTGATGGTCAAGTTTCCATCATTGAGCTGGGGTTCCGGCCACTATTTTAGTACCTCCCATTATTGCTCTTAGGACCTACATCAAGGACTACCACGAACCCTCCCATTATTTTTAGGACATCAAGGGTACAGTAGCACGACAACTATTAAAAAGATTACCATATTTAAAGGTGGTTAAAAAATTGAGTAAGTATATGGTACAACCGGTTGTACCTAAAAATAGGTACATCCGGGTAGTACTCATTCTGAAGTAAAGTAGTACTCAATCTCGCACAAACATAACAATTTATTTAAAATAACGTGGTACTCATTCTGAAATAACATAGTACTCATTCTGAAATACGTAATACTCCGTACTCATTTGCACACATTTGTACAATATTCATTTATTAATAACGTAATACTCATTCTAAAACCTAGTAATACTTAAAAATCCAAAATCCAAAATCTTAAAGACCAAATTGGAATTAGAACATACGGAGTAATTGGAATTAGAGCTTTGCCTACTGGATCTGCG